TCTTGATCTATGTAGAGGTTCCTCATGAGCACAATTAACTGTTCTGGACTTCCCATTCTTCCCAATGTTATCCATAATTTGTTACAATCCATACAGTCAAATGCCTTTGCATAGTCAATAAAACACAGGTAAACATCTTACTGGTATTCTCTGCTTTCATCCCTGATCCATCTGACATCAGCGATGATAGCCCTGGTTCCACATCCTCTTCTGAATCTGGCTTGAATTTCTGACAGTTCCCTATCAATGTACCGCTGCAGCTGCTTTTGTTGATCTTCAGCAAAACTTTGCTTGCATGTGATATTAATGATATTTTTTGATAATTTTCTCATTCAGAAACCAACAAGAAGGGTTGGCAGTTGGAAAATATGGCCTTGGTGATAGAAACGATGCCGGGGATCACATGACAGAATTTTGCAAGACCAATGACTTCTTCACTGCAGACACCTTTATTCAACAACATAAACGGCAACTATACACGTAGAAGTCACCAGATGGGATACACAAGAATCAAATCGACTACATATGTGGAAAGAGATGATGGAAAAGCTCAATATCATCAGTCAGAACAATACCAGGGGCCAACCGTGGAAAGTTCAAGCTTGCTATACATATTGAATAGTAACACTGTAGCCCCTAATTCCAAACTATAAGACTTCATCTTCCCATCTGTCTCCCCATCTGTCTAGCCCCCTATTTTCACTATTGTTGTTGTTTTCACAATGGCCCCATGGAAATCTCAAGTCCCGTGACTCCACATTGGTTTTGAAATCAATCAGTCCCTTCCTGACTCTATTTTCTTCTTGGTGTATAATATCAACAACTTCCTGGCTAGCACCCTGAGTGTGCTCACTCCTTTTGTTGTGCTGATACAAAGTCCTGAATACTTAAAGCATTTTCTAAATTCCAAAGTCTCATTTTAGGTTGGTATTTCCATAAATATTCAGGTCATAATTTAGAGGTTGCCTTCTTTTGGTGTTTTACAGCTTCTCTTCAGATGCAGAGTCTGTTCTTTAGGGAGTCAAACATTTGAGTCGGTTAACTTTTTTTGTGCAACAAGGGTCATATTCAATATATTTAACAAATGACCAATTGAAAGATACCATTTAAAAACAATGGCCAGCTGTCAAAATCAGCCAATATTAGCTCTTGTTGCAAGAAATAGGGAACAACTTCAGAATAAAAGAACAAGTAAAAAGAAAAATTAGGGAAGAGAACAAGGTGGCTCACAGTCAAGAAAATAAAAACCGAATGATAAGTTCCTTGGAAGGACAAGAACAAGGGCAGGTCCAAGAATCTTAGCAGCAATGGATCTTCAAACTTCCTTCTAGGTTCTGCCATAAAATGACTTAGTTCTATCTGCTTTTTGCCTCTGGAAGCCTTCTCTCAACTCTAAAATTTCACAGGAGGTAGAATTTGATTGGCCCACACTGGGTATGGTTCTCTCACCCCCACTGTGAGATCCAATCACTGTGGCAAATGAGATAGAATCCTATGATCGGCCCATGCTCGGTCATAGCCCCTGCATACAGCCAGGCAGGTTGGGGGATTGCCAGAGAAGAAAATGAGATTGGGCAAACAAAAGCAATAGTCACTGCGACATTCTTTTTTTGTCTCTGAAAATTTCTTCCCTTGATAACTTAGGAGGCCTGTCCTTACCATTATGGGGAGACAGAATCTCTTTGCTATAGTCACAATGTTCAAGTGAAACTATAGACCAAAATCTCCTTGAAGTTCTCTGTCTTAGTTATCTAGTGCTGCTATAACAGAAATATCACAAGTGGATGGTTTTAACAAAGAGAAGTTTATTCCTTTAGAGAAAGTAGGCTAAAAGGTGTCAGCTCTAGGGGAAGGCTTTCTCTCTCTCTTGGCCTTCTCATCAATGTTCCCCGGGACTAGGAGCTTCTCAGCAGAGGGACCCTGGTTCAAAGGACGCACTCTGCTCTGGCACTGCTTTTTGATGGTATGAAGTTCCCCTGTCTCACTGCTCACTTCTGTCTTTTATATCTCAAGAGATTGCCTCAGGACACAATCCAGTCTTGTAAATTGAGTCCTGCCTCACTAACACAACTGCTGCCCATCCCCCCTCATTAACATCATAGAGGCAGGATTTACCACACACGGGAAAATCACACAGTACTGGGAATCATGGCCAAGCCAAATTGATACACACATTTTTTGGGGAACATAATTCAATCCATGACGTTACACCCTTTGGCCCCCAAAAAATCACATCCTTGCAACATGGAAAACATATTCACCCCATCACATCATAGCAAAAGTCTTAACTCCAAGTCCAAAATCCAAAAATTCCTCTTCATCTGTGAAATCTAGAATATAAGTTATCTGCTTCCAAAGGTACAATGGCAGAACAGGCACAAGCTAAACATTTCCACTACAAATGGGACAAATTGCAGGGAAAGAAGGAATAACAGGCACCAAGCAAGTTAGCAGAACACATTACATTAGCCCTCAAGGCTTGACAATAATCCTCTGTTCTCTGAGACAATTTATGCAATAGCCCTGCCCTCCAGACTCCAGGTATTGACCACAGTCTCTGGATTCTGGTGGAGGCCCCTCAGCCCTGGGCTTCAGCTCCGCCTTCCAGGCCCACTGGGACAGCAACTCTGCTCCCTCAGCTTTAGGCACACCATTCTCCTAGTCCATTGGAGTGACAACTCCACCCTTAGAAACACCAGAGGTCATGACCCCACCCTTTGAAACCCCTGAAGTCATGGCTATACCTTTTGAGACTGAGGCAGCTTGGCTTCTTTTGTTCCTTGTCTCTTCTGCTTCCTGTGACCTATCGGCCCTCTGGCCTCACGCCCGCATCTGCCCTGCTGGGGTAAGTGTTCCAAAGCTCTGTAGCTCCACCAATAAGTGCCCGGAGGCACCCCACTCTGCCAGAAGCCTCCTGCGCACAGGCACTCAGCTCTCTCTCTCTGTGGGTCGGCTCCAGCGCAGTCTCACACTGGCCTCCTTGTTCTGCTGCCACAGGTTCTCTGCTGCTGCTGGTCCTTGGCTGCTGCCACTGCTCTAACCATTCACAGTTTCACAACTGCTTCCATATTTTAGGTATCTGTTAGAGCAGCACCCCACTCTTTCGATACCAAATTCTGTCTTAGTTATCTAGTGCTGCTGTAACAGAAATACCATAAGTGGATGGTTTTAACAAAGAGACGTTTATTCCTTTACAGTAAAGTAGGCTAAAAGGTGTTAGCTCCAGGGAAAGGCTTTCTCTCTCTCTTGGCCTTCTCATCAATGTTCTCCCAGACTAGGAGCTTCTCAGCGCAGGGACCCTGGTTCAAAGGACGTTCTCTGCTCTGGCACTGCTTTCTTGATGGTATGAGGTTCCCCTGTGTAACTGCTCACTTCTTTTATATCTCAGGAGATTGCCTATGGCCACAATCCAGTCTTATAAATTGAGTCCTGCCTTACAAACACAACTGCCGCCCATGCTCCCTCATTAACATCATAGAGGCAGGATTTACCACACATGGGAAAATCACACAATACTGGGAATCATGGCCAAGCCAAATTGATACACACATTTTTGGGGGGACATAATTCAATCCATGACACTCTCCTTCAATTACTTTACAGACACTACTCTCCCCTGATTTCTTCCTACCCTGCTTGTGTTGAAAATATTGCTACTTCCAAGTGCTCTGTTCTTATTCTTTTGTCTTTTTTTTCTTATTCTGTAATCCTCTCTTCCTACAATCTCATGCAGAGTGTAGCTTGAGCTTCCAACTCTATGTTGATTACTCAAACTGTAGTACAGCCTGCTCTCTTGAATTGCAGATTCATAAATCCAACTACCTACCTGACATTTCCCCTTGAGGTAATGTTGGGAAATTTCCCACAGAAAGCTCAAATTCAGTGTGTCCAAAAAAAAAAGTCCATCATCCTTCTCCCCTGCACGTTATTCTGCTCCGGTGTGCCATTCTAGCTTCATGCACTGCATCACCATCTGCTTGGAAATCCAATTCTAAAAACTTGGAATATTCCTCGATTCAAATCCTCACCCAAACTCCCACATACAATCACCAGGAAGTCCTGGCTGTTCTATTCATTGCTACTTCATCTGGAAAAAGCATTCATCATTTCTCCTAATGTATTCCCTGCCACCTGCCTCAACCACCTCCAGTATAGCTTCAGAAATGCTGGTCGAATGAAAGGCTGACTACAGGATAACATCCAAACTCATTGGCATGCCAGCCAAGATCCTCCAAAGTTTATAGTCTCCTTCTCTATTTAGCCCCATCTGTTGCCACTCCTACAGCCACACCTAGAACACCCGTTGTACCACACGGTTCTGTTTGCAGAACTTGGCACACCTATACAGAGAACCATGCTTGCCCTGTCCAAATATCTAACCCATAGAATCTGTGATTATAATAAAATTTATGTAGTTTTAATTTATTACATTTGGGGTGATTTTTTTTTTTACACAGGAATATATAAGCAGAAGAGATATTTTTTGTGATTTTCCCATGGGGCAGGGGTGGTATTTGTTATTAAGCATTAGCTGGAGAATAGATTCTACCTTTGTACAGAATCTTACATTTTCTCCTCTTTGGAATATTTTGTGAATTAGTAGAAAATACATGCAATTTGAGAACAGATCTGGATTCAAATAATATTTATTTCCCTCGTTTACTTTTGTCACCTTAAACAATTTTCTTTTCATGAATTGTATGTAGTAATACCCACTACCTAAAGTAGGTATGGGGTTTAATTCAGATAACAGGGGAAAAAATCCTAGCATCTCAGATGGAGTTAACCCAGAGACTACTATCTTTCCCCAAGGTGATTAGCTGTAAAACCTTTAAAAAAAAAAAAAAAAAAAAAAATGGAAGAGAATACAATATGAGACATAATTATTTGAAAAGCATACCATTGTATATTTGGAAAACCCAAGAAAATAAACTGAAAAAAAATATTAAGAACAGTGGGAAAGTTCATGTGATAGCTAACTACAAAATCAGTATGTATATAGCTTTGTGCAGACAAAGTTATCGTTGCCAATGAGGTTTATCTGAGGTATGATTATTGCTAATTAAAAACTTTTCCCAAATTAACATATAAGAGTCAACCAGTTGCTGTTGAATTAACCAGGAGCCCTGGTTGCACAGTGGTTAAGCACTCAACTGCTAATGGAAAGGTCAGCAGTTCAAACCCACCAGTCTCTCCACAGGTGAAAAGATGTGGCAGTCTGCTTCCACAAAGATTTACAACCTTGGGAATACTATGCGGGCAGTTTTACTCTGTCCTTCAGGACTGCTATGAGACAAACTCAATGGCAGTGGGTTTTTTTGGTTTGTTTCAAGTTAACTGTGACTCATGGTGTCACCATGTGTGTAAGAGTAGACCTGTGCTCCTTAGTGTTTTCAATGGCTGATTCTTCAGAAGTAAATTCCAAACGTTTCTTCCAAGGTGCCTCTGGGTAGACTCGAACCTCCACCCTTTCCATTATCAGCCACGTATGTTAACTGTTTGCACCGCCTTTGGATTCCACGAAAGTTTATAGCTGTTTTATATTCTAAGAATAATCAATTTGAAAATATGACAGAAAAAAATCCCAGTAACAACTAAAACATAATATACTCAAGAATAAGCCTAACAAGAAATGTATATATTATTTAAGAAAACAATAAAATTTTGCTAAAGTATATCAAATAAAACCTTAATATGTGATGTCCAACAACGAGTAATTGTTTTAATGAATGCTAGTTCCCTTTCTATAGGCTTCAGAGATTATAGGGTATAAGAAGACGTTATTGCCCCCACGCACAGCCTCCTTAGTTCTTTCTACCAAAGCAGGTGTGGCAGACATCATCAAATGAGAGGTTGGAAAGTGCCAGCAATTTTATTTGTAGGGAAAAGTGAGTAATGAAAATGTAATGTGGAAACCAGTTAAAAGGCCCATGGAGGCCATTTCTTACCAGAGAAGATCAAAAGAAATCTAAAAACCAACCCCCCAAATTGATTAGAGTCAATCATTAGAAAGGAAATATATAAAGCTTTAGCTTTCGTCAGATTATTCTGTCCATGTTTAAAGTCAGTTGAATAGTTTACTTTTTTGAAAATGTAGCATTTAGAGGAAAAAAACAACCCAAGCAAACAGAAAAGGGTAGTTGTTCTTTAGTTTTACAGAAGGAAAGTATACACCTGTTTGGGGAGTGTTGGGTTCATTTTAAAATTGTTTCCATGGGTTTATATTTGGTTTATGATATGATCTTGATATTATTATGGTAATAAGCTGCATTTGCTAACTATGTTGCGCAAGATAATTATTGGTTGTTTTGAATCTAGAGGTTTAGAGAAAAATGTTTAATCACATGCTAAATTGATCATAATTATGCATTTTTTAGAAGGAGCTGTAATAATATGGATTTGGATTTTCACTGAGTCTTGGATTGGAAAGATAATGATAGGCTTCCCATAGATGGCAGGACATTTGTCCTATCTACAGGTCAATCACATTTTTACCCTGTAGTGGAAACATTTTGTTCAGAGACTTCTCCGACAGAGCTTGTTACTCATCTTCCAATATATATTCTTTGTTGCTGTTGTTATTAGGTACCGTCAAGTCAGTTCTGACTCATAGTGACCCCACGCACCACAGAATGAAACACTGCCTGGTCCTGTGCCACGCTCACAATCATTGTTATGCATGAGTCCATTGTTGCAGCCATGTGTCAATCCATCTTGTTGAGGGTCTTTCTCTTTTTCGCTGACCCTGTACTTTACCAAGCATATTATCTTGTTACCCCTAAACCCTGATTTTTAGCTGACCAATTGAAAAGAGACAACATTGCCAGAGTCTCTTGTAATTAGATATGGTCATATGACTGCGTTCTAGCTGATGGCTTACAAACAGAAGTCTTGTGTTTAACTTTTTAGAAGAGAGTTTGTCCTCCTTTTTTTCTTATCTCTATACTGCTAACTGGAAAACTTCACACACATGACAGAGAAATAAAATTTTATTTTGTTTAAGACACTGTTATTCTGAGTTTACTGTCACACTGAACTTAGTTATAACTAAAACAAAATTCAAGAAATGCAGTACAGTGAAAAAATGCATAACAACATGGCCACCTTCATATTAAAAGCAAGCCAAACCAGAAGCCATCTAGTCAATTCTGACTCATAGTGACCCCATGTGTTCCAGAGCAGAACTGCACTCCATAAGGATTTTCAATGGCTATGATCTTTTGGAAGTAGATCATCAGGCCTTTCTTCCAAGGTTCCTGTGGGTGGATTTGAACCACAAACCTTTTGATTAAGAGCTGAGCGCATAACCATTTGGGCCACCCAAGGACTAACCTTGATGTTAGGTAAGAGAAATTATGTAGAATCTAATAAATATTAAATATTGTTAAAAGAGTGTTTTATTTATTTATTTTTTTGATCCTACAATTTCCCTTTTTTAGTTTCCTATATAAATTGCTTAAATTTATTAGTCAATGCCAATATGACTCATCTAATAATTATAACATGATCAGAAACTTCATATTGAATAACTAATGCAATGCACATTTGCTGCATTATTTGAGAATTTTCAATTCTGACATTGAATATATTAAAAATAAACGGGATAGATGAAACCCTAAGCACAGCTGATGAATAAATTCCTATCTTACAAAGATACAGGCAAAACTTATAAGATGCATTAGGTATATATAGATGTTGTTGTTGTCATTGTTGTTGTTAAGTGCCATCGAGTCAGTTCCGATTCATAGCGACCTACGTACAACAGAACAAAACATTGCCCAGTCCTGCACCATCCTCACAATCTTTGTTATGTTTGGGCCCATTGTTGCAGCCACTGTGTCAATCCATCTCCTTCGAGGGTCTTCCTCTTTTTTGCTGACCCTCTACTTTAACAAGGATGCTTTCCTTCTCCAGGACTGGTCCCTCCTGATAAAATGTCCAAAGTATGTGAGACGAAGTCTCACCATCCTCACTTCCAAGGAGACCTCTGGCTGTATTTTTCCAAGACAGACTTGTTCGTTCTTCTGGTAGTCCATATTATATGCAATATTCTTCACCAACACCATAATTCAAAGGCACCGATTCTTCTTTGGTCTTCCTTATTCATTGTCCACTTTTCACGTGCATATAAGGCAACTGAAAATATCACGGCTTGGGTCAGGTGCACTTTAGTCCTCAAAGTGACATCTTGGCTTTTTAACACTTCAAAGGAGTCTTTTGCAGCAGATTTTCCCAATGGAATACATCATTTGATTTCCTGACTGCTGCTTCCATGGGCATTGATTGTTGGTCCAAGTAAAATGAAATCCTTGACAACATCAATCTTTTCTCCATTTATCATGATGTTGCTTATTGGTCCAGTCCTCTTCTGAATCCAGTTTGAACTTCTGACAGTCCCCTGTAGATGTATTGCTGCAATGCTTTTGAATCATTTTCAGCAAAATTTTACTTGCCCGTGATTTTAATGATATTGTTTGATTATTTTTGCATTTCTTTGGACCACTTTTCTTTGAAACAGGCACAAATATGGATCTCTTCCTGTCAGTTGGCCAGGTAGCTGTCTTCCAAATTTCTTGGTATAGACAAGTGAGCACCTCCAGTACTGCATTTGTTTGCTGAAACATCTCAATTGGTATTCCATCAATTCCTGGAGCCTTGTTTTTCGCCAATGCCTTCAGTGCAGCTTGGGCCTCTTCCTTTAGTACTATTGGTTCTTGATCATATACCACTTTCTGAAATGGTTAAACATTGATGAACTTTTGTTGGTACAGTGACTCTGTGTATTCCTTCCATCTTCTTTTGATGCTTCCTGCATTAGTCAATATTTTACCCATGGAGTCCAAAATTGCAACTTGAATCTCGAATTTTTTTCTTCAGTTCTTTCAGCTTGAGAAATGCTGAGTGTGTTCTTCACTTTTTGTTTTCTAACTCGTCTTTGCACATTTCATTATAATATTTTGCTTTGTCTTCTCAAGCTGCCCTTTGAAATCTTCTGTTCAGCTCTTTTACTTCATCATCCCTTCCATTCGCTTTAGCTACACTACATTCAAGTGCAAGTTTCAGAGACTCTTCTGACGCCCATGTAGTTCTTTTTTTTTTTTTTTTTCTTTCCTGTCTTTTTAATGAACTTTTACTTTCTTCATGTATGACATCCTTGATATCTTCCCACAACTTGTCTGGTCTTTGGTCATTTGTGTTGAGTGCATCAAATCTATTCTTAAAATGCTCTCAAGATATACTCAGGTTTGTATTTTGGCTCTCATGGACTTGTTTTAATTTTCTTCAGCTTCAACTTGAACTTGTATAGGGCAATTGATGGTCTCTTCTGCAGTCGGCCCCTGGCCATGTTCTGACTGATGATATTGAGTTTTTCCATCATCTCTTTCCACAAATGTAGTAGATTTGATTCCTGTGTTTTCTATCCGGTGAGGTCAATGGGTATAGTAGCTGTTTGTTTTTGAAAAAAGATATTTGCAGTGAAGAATTCGTTGGTCTTTCAAAATTCTATCACGCAATCTCCAGTGTCATCTCTATCACCAAAGCCATATTTTCCAACCACCGATCCTTCTTCTCTTCCAACTTTTGCATTCCAATCACCAGCAATTATCAATGCAGTTTGATTGCATATTTGATCAATTTCAGAGTACAGAAGTTGGTAACAATCTTCAATTTCCTCATCTTTGCCATTAGTGGTTGTTATGGTTAAGATTGTATGTCAGCTTGGCTAGGCCGTGATTCTCAGTGTTTTGGCAGTTGTGTAACGTTGTCATCACTTCCCTGTTAAAATCTGATATGTGATCACCCCCATGATGGAATCTGCTAAGTGGTACCAGTAGGGGCGGGCCTGCGGTAGCTCATCACCCCCTCAGCCTTCATCTTTCCACCCTCTGCCAGCTACTTCCTTCCTGCCTGCCTTGTCAAGGTTTTTGGCTTGTTCTGGACCCAGCAGCTGCCTCTTGTTGTCTTAGCTCCGGTTCTTAGGGCTTGAGCTAGCAGCTTACCTGTCAATCTTGGGATTCGTCGATCTTCACAGCCTGTGAGCAAGAGTCCTGCTGTCTAACCTGCTGATCTTGGGTTCGCCAGCCCCTGCAGCCATGTGAATCAGAAGAAACCTTGTGGTCTTGCCTGCCGA